ATATATATAGTTCTGTATCTGGTAGTAGCTGGATATCTTACAGCATATACCCCATGCATAGCTTTATGTTATTCCTCCTTGTTAAACTCAGGGTCCTGGACATGAGAACCTACATAGGACCTAGTCCACACAGGGAAATAGGACCATGAGTCAGTCATTCTAGATATTAAATCTCAGTTAATCTCATACAAGACTATAGGCTCCCTGTCAGCAAAACCTATCAAAAACCATTGGGCACCATTTACAGAACAGATCATTCCTTGATAGTTCATTTTCAAGGAATATATTTCTTTAATTGATTTTTCATAGTAATGCATGTATTATAAGAAACCTTGAAAAGTACAGAAAAGCATAAAAAAATTTAAACCATGCAAAGCCCAGTATTCATCAGTAGCTATTGAATATATATTTTATTGTAGGTCAGGTGACTATTTGCTTTTAAGCATTTTCTAGCCATTATAAGATCTTTAGTGGCATCCCTGGATGTCGGCAGCTTCTCTGTGGGTAAATATTTACTTGCAACTTCATGCCACTGGCCCTGTGTTACAGTATTTTTTCAGTCATATATAATACTGGGAAGGACATTCCTGGTTGAGTTACTTTACACATTTTCAGAAGGATCTTTGTGAATTAAATCTTATTTGTAAGGTTTGTAATCAATAACCTTGTGAGTTTTTGTTTAGAAATATGTCTATTTGTATCCCTAATATGTGAAATTTCATTTATTTCTAAATACATTAAATTTGGAAATTACAGTTTTTTTTAAAAAAAATCTTAGCAAGCTTTATTTGGTATATAATTATATGGCACAATTTAAAATTTTATTTTATATATGGGAGTGTTTTTTTTTTAAAGGCCAAATACATTGCTTTATTTTTTTTTAACTACTTACTTGCCACATCTCTGGAATTACATTCAAATAAAATGTTGAAAACCCAAACATTTTCATGAAAAACGGCCATGAAATAGTCATGTTTTATTAGAGGAATGGGCAGAAACACGCGCAGTACCCATGGGCTCCTCTGTATTCAGTCCAGTGACTGGTGGTGAACCCAGTTCCTTGACATGTTTAGGAAACAATACAATGATTTTTTTTTCAGATTTCTACCCACTTTATTTTGACACTATTATTTCTAAATTATAACTAGGTCATTTTTTTTCACTGTCATAATTATTGTTTTTATTAGGTATGTAGTTATGATTATTAATCTCTTTCTATACTCAGTTATAATTGTTTTTATAATGTTATCATAGGTATTCTTTTTTTAAATTTTTATTTATTAAAGATTTCTGACTCTTCCCCGCCACCGCCTCCCACTTCCCTCCCCCCCCCCCAATCAAGTCCCCCTCCCTCGTTAGCCCAAAGAGCAATCAAGTTTCCCTGCCCTGTGGGAAGTCCAAGGACCACCCACCTCCATCCAGGTCTAGTAAGGTGAGCATCCAAACTGCCTAGGCTCCCACAAAGCCAGTTCGTGCAGTAGGATCAAAAACCCATTGCCATTGTTCTTGAGTTCTCAGTAGTCCTCATTGTCCACTATGTTCAGCAAGTCCGGTTTTATCCCAGGCTTTTTCAGATCCGGGCCAGCTGGCCTTGGTGAGTTCCCGAGAGAACATCCCCATTGTCTCAGTGTGTGGGTGCACCCCTCCCGGTCCTGAGTTCCTTGCTCGTGCTCTCTCTCCTTCTGCTCCTGATTTGGACCTGAGATTTCTGTCGGTGCTCCAATGTGGGTCTCTGTTTCTGTCTCCTTTCATCGCCTGATGAAGGTTAATATTCAGGAGGATGCCTATATGTTTTTCTTTGGGTTATCCTTATTTAGCTTCTCTAGGATCACGAATTATAGGCTCAATGTCCTTTGTTTATGGCTAGAAACCAAATATGAGTGAGTACATCCCATGTTCCTCTTTTTGGGTCTGGCTTACCTCACTCAGGATAGTGTTTTCTATTTCCATCCATTTGTATGCAAAATTCAAGAAGTCCTTGTTTTTTACTGCTGAGTAGTACTCTAATATGTATATATTCCATACTTTCTTCATCCATTCTTCTATTGAAGGGCATCTAGGTTGTTTCCAGGTTCTGGCTATTACAAACAATGCTGCTATGATCATACTTGAGCATATACTTTTGTTGTATGATAAGGCCTCTCTTGGGTATATTCCCAAGAGTGTTATTGCTGGGTCCAGGGGTAGGTTGATCCCTAATTTTCTGAGAAACCGCCACACTGCTTTCCAAAGTGGTTGCACAAGTTTGCATTCCCACCAGCATTGGATGAGTGTACCCCTTTCTCCACAACCTCTCCAGCAAAGGCTATCATTGGTGTTTTTGATTTTAGCCATTCTGACAGGTGTAAGATGGTATCTTAAAGTTGTCTTGATTTGCATTTCCCTGATCACTAAGGAAGTTAAGCATGTCCTTAAGTGTCTTATGGCCATTTGAACTTCTTCTGTTGAGAGATCTCTGTTCAGCTCAGTGCCCCATTTTATAATTGGGTTGATTAGCCTTTTACGGTCTAGTTTCTTGAGTTCTTTATATATTTTGGAGATCAGACCTTTGTCAGTTGCAGGGTTGACATTAAGGGCCTCATTGAATAAATAGGAC